GACAGGGAACCCCACAGACACACGCCTTCAAGGCTTCACGCAACTAAACGAAAGCCGTTACGTTACAGAAACATGGACCAGAGCGGGTCCTGATCTCTCCTCCTTCTTTTTTGTGTTTGTTACTCTCTTGTAAAACCTCTAATCTTCGGCACTAAAACACTTACTAAACCTAAACTAAAACATGGACCAATTGTTTCGGTTTGACTTCATCGGTGTCTGCGGAGTAGCGGTAGGGTGCTGGTGCCCGCACGAGACTGGAGTTCGATTCCCGAGAAGAGATACGTTTTGCTGAATATTTAATCTCGGTCTTTCTACTGCAATGTTACATCCCTCTCAGCCTGCGTTGGCCCTAACAGGGAAGGTCGGAAGCCCGCCTCCTGAAAAATTAAAATTGGTCTAAGGAGGCGTAAAACATTTACATTTAAAAATAAATTAGGTTTTACGTCCCCTTGCAACACTGTAGGGTTATCTAAGAATAAAAGAATTAACGTCCAAGTCTGATACGACCTGGCAAAAAGGATAAACATTCGTGAAAAGTGTCTTTCCAAAGGACCGAATGTCGGACTGAGCTTAGCCACCAAGGGATCTTTAACGTGCGCAACTTGCACACGTGACCCCTGAGACTTCCCGCCCTTATGCGAGAAAGTTAAGTGTCAGATCTTACCTACCATAAGATCAGGAATGTGGCTGAAAGACAGCAGTAAGAAGGACCCTCCCCCAAACCACCTCTCTGATATAACCATTTTACCTCGAGAATGTTTGGTGGTCTTTGGCAGGTCCGACTGTACTTTCATTGGTGAATAAAAGTAGCACTAGGGAGTCCTAACGAGTTTCTGCTTTTTTATAATCATGGCGTTCACTTTTTGCCAACAAAGTTCTATCTGCTCATTTCCTAGTTTTGGAAAATTTGACGTCAAAGATTTTGAGTTTCACAACATTTCAAGCTTTTCCGAATGCAATTCTTTGACTATGTTGATAACGACTCCGAATAATCTTGCGATTTTGATAGAACAGATAGGACGATAATTGGTTTTTGACCTCATAGTCTTAGTAACTCGAAATGGCCAAACATGTCAGCTAGAACTTTGTAATTCTAAGGTAGCGATATGTATAATTTAATGTGTATTCAGTCAGGGAAAAACGGGAAAAAGAACAAGAAGAATCGGAATACCATCATCTTGAGCGACTTCGTGAGCTTGGAATTTGATGGAGCGCCAGCAGAAGATCAAGACTTAGTGGGAGGAGCAGAAGGCTATGGAATCAAACATTGCTTGGAACGGTCAACATCTACACACTTCGAGATGTGGTTCTTCAGGAGGCAGAGCGCTTATGGGGATGCCCCTTGTGCAGTGATATCTGTCCTTCATACAAGCAACAAATAACAAGTACAAGGAAACGTGTAGCGGTCATGACTGGTTGTGAGTGACCTTAAGGCACCGAGAGGCGCGATGTCATGGGATAGACTTTGTGGGGAATCGGCAGACACTAAGGCGAGACAAGTGAACGGAGAATGATTTAGGGGAGAGAGAGAGAGAGAGAGAGAG